GGGAGGAGGCAGAAACTTTTTTTTCTTATTCTCAATAAAATAAAAAAAATGAAAAAAAAGAGAAAGTATACAAAGAAAAAAAAACAACTAAAATAACAAATATCTCACCAAAACATTATTTTGTAGAAAAATGTTATTTAATATAATGCAAATATAAAAAGAAAAAATTATGTTACAGATCCCACTCACCTAACTTCCACAAATATCATTTAGATGAGGTGAAACTTACATTAGGAGATCATTAAGAAGTTGTTAGCATTTTGTGCTCAATAACTTTAGCTCCAATTTTTTATGGAGTTGTTTGATGTATTTAAATGAGCATTTATTTTTTAAATGGTTGTTTGTGGATTGTTTTGGATTTGCTTCTTGCCTAAGTCTCTCAGACTTTACAATTATGACAACAGGTTCTTTTCTAATATAATATTATTAGTTTTTGAGATTATTATGCACTGTACTTTGATCATAATCACCTGATTCCTTCTCTATCCAGATTCATTCCTTATCTTCCTATCCTCCCCCAATTTCATGGCCTATTTTTTATATGTTTATAAACAATTGACATAGTCATATATGTGCTAGACGTATACTCATGGATGTGGGGTTAACTACTGGAGCATGACTAACTTGACAGGAGTTATACCATCAAAACAAACTTACTCTCTTAATACTAGGAGCTAACAACACTCAATAGCTCCTCATTTAGTGTTATGAGTTCATGAGCCTTCTCTCTCTATTTCTTATATCACCTAACAAGTTTTCTAGGCTAGGGAGAGTCAGTATTTTTAAGTAAGTGGCCTTGTTAAGATGCCCATACTCCAACAGATGCCTCTACACCAATGATACCACAAACGGCACTAATTACCTCAGTATGTGATAAAAAGAGGACATAAATTTGAGAGCAAGATGAGGTATAAGGGCAATAAGAGGAGCTAAAGAAGGAATGGGAGTTGATATCATCAATGCATACACACACACACAAACACACACATTATACTTTCTCATAGAATATGGGAAAACTAACAAAAAGATTTGTAAATCCTGAGGGAATGGTAGATAAATTCAAGTAAAGAAGCAGCTAACACTAAAGGTTTTTTGAACAGTTGTTTGGAACACTTCTACTGTAGAAGCTTCCTAATTAAAAGTTATATGGATGTCACCATATAATGGGGAGAAAGGAACAATACCCCAATCAGACATTTTTTTTCCACCAACTAAAACCTCCAGTACCATGAATGGGTTATATCATGCTAACTTGCTGGCCAAAAGGGTTTTATAGACTGTCCACCAGATATCACAGGATATTAATAAGGCTATTATTATTGCTTTCCCTAAAAAAACCTGAAAAAAGGTCTTATTGCTGATGCCACTTATGAAATTGAACTTGGAGATAAACAGATGGTTCCTGGCTAGAAGCTTCACTCTACTGCCTAGCATTCTCAATGCTGGAACATAATGAGCATGGACTGTAGGAGAAAAATGAATAACAAAAAAAATCATAATAAAAACTAACCAAAGAAAAAATTCTTAACATTTTCCATGGAACATATTTTNAAAAGGCTTTGGATTTGATCAACAGTATTGGAAAACAACCATAAAAACAACTAAAATAACAGAAATATCTCACCAAAACATTATTTTGCAGAAAAACGTTATTTAATATAATGCAAAATTAAGTTAATTATCAAGAATTTCCTGAAGGAAAGATGCTGAAGGATGATTAAGCCATTAGTTTTTTAGGGTACAAAGAACTTTTTTCCAGTAATTTCTCAAGATTCTCTGTTCCTATTGTCTGTTTTGAAAATGATCAGATACATTTGTTCTGCCTTCTACGAGTATGGTATGCTCCAGTCTTAGAAGTCACAAGGACTTAAGGACAAAACCCTAAATGATATTATACTCACAAATGGAAATGTCAAGAGATTTTTTTAAATGTATATTTTTATTTTTTTACTTTGTAGTGAATGTTTCGGGGAACATATCAAGGTCATCTTTAGTTCTAGGCAACTGCTCTTCAGCTGAATTGCATCTTCAGCACCACTGCAGCTAGGGTTCATCTAGAAGTTTCATGCGACTGTGCTTCTGAAATATTTATTTCAATAGATTATAGACAGTCACTCACTAATTCACTTAGTAATCTGGTGTAGGATGTTCTTCTTTCTATGTGTTGCCTGTATTGTTTAATGAATAAAGATACTGCCTTGGCCTGATAGGGGCAGAACTTAGATAGGCACAGAAGACAGATCTGAATTCTGGGATGAAGAAAGCAGAGTGGAGAGAGCCACCATGGAGTCGCCAGAGTCAGACATGCTGAATCTTTCCCAGTAAGCCACTGCCACATTGCGATACACAGATTAATAGAAATGGGTTAAATCAAGATGTGAGAGTTAACCAATAAGAGGTTAGAGCTAATAGGCCAAGCAGTAATTTAATTAATATAGTTTCTATGTGGTTATTTTGGAGCTAAGCTAGCCTGGCAGCCAGGACGTACAAGTGGGTCCTCTTCCTGTAACAGTAATCTTTGGGGAAGTTTAGCAGATTTCATTGGAAAGGTTCCATTGTTTTTCCAAAGAATCAGGTATGGAGGGGAACTGCAGTTTTTACTTTATTCTTCTCTACAATCCTAAATAAGTCAAGTAAAGCAGAGGTGATGAACCCATTATGATTCCAGTGGTCACAGTCAGAAAATGAAATAGTGATTTTGGTCATTCAACATAGAGGGAACCTATATTAGGTTTTCCATTCGTGGACTTGAGAGCAGGCAGGTGAATATAAGAATATGCTCTGCTTTTACTGGGAAGAATTTGACTAAACAAGTTTACTGTGTGATGATTATCCTTATTTTTAATTTTAAGTTAATGTACTTAAGAAATCTATGAAATAAATTTGCTTCTCACTTGTAATTTCCACTGGCCCAAGGAATGTTTAGGGCCAGTTTTATAATGTAAATGAATTTCTTGTTTATCATGGTGACCCCACTGTTAACTGCTGCTTCTGTAAACAAAGCTGCTTATACAAAAGGAAAAGGATACCTGTAAGACATTTGTTTGCTAAAAGCTTGTGTTTGCACTTAGGCAAAGATGTGTGTGTGTGTGTGTGTGTGTGTGTGTGTGTGTGTGTGTGTATGTGTGTGTGCATAAATAGAATGAAACCTTCTGAATGGAGGATGCATGTCTATAAATAAATGAAGTGTAATCTTATGCCTTTTTTTTTGCCTTTATTGTACTACTTTGTGGGGATCCTGAGTTCCAGGTATAAGCCTGGCCAACCAGTATCGTGATAAAAGCCTCTTCTTTGCTAGAAGTTAATTTATATTTGGTCATATCGGTGAATCTCTGAGTGCCTCCAGACCCATAAAAGCTAATCCTTGAGAGTAATTCTGTTTTTTCTTCACATAAACGATGCAATCTTAATTTACTAGCAGTCCGTTCTTTCTCTTTAATAATTTTACTTTTATACAGAAATGGAGGTTATTGCAGCAACAAAAGAGACTGAGCATGTTTTCTATTTTAGACACCATGGTATCTAGGCTTTGGTCAAATATTAAGAATACAGGTGCTTGAGATCTCAGAAGCCTGTAGATTATTCAGGTGATTAAATAAATCATTTCTGTCTGTAAGTTTATACCAGACAAATGATACAATATGTCTTGAACAAATGTAATTGTGCTCTTATTAGATGTTTTATCTTAGGTTGGCTGGTAGGAAGAGATCTTCCTGAGGAGGCTGTTGGTGACCTGAAAAAAGGTCTCATTGCTGATGCCACTTATGAAATTGAACTTGGAGATAAACAGATGGTTCCTGGCTAGAAGCTTCACTCTACTGCCTAGCATTCTCAATGACGGAAAATAATGAGCATGGACTGTAGGAGAAAAATGAATAACAAAGAAAATCAATAGTGCAGGGAACCCTGACTGCTCTTCCGGCTGGAGAGGGAGGGGGAGAGGGGTGGGGGG